ATACAATCATTTGATATAACAAAACAGCAAATGCCAATGAAAGTCAATGGGAACCGAAACTTTTTGGAACGACAAGATGGTGAATTAATGATGACATATATCCCTTTAAACTGCATTAAAATAATTTACCCACCCTGATGTTGTAAGATATTTTAAACAACATTGGGGAACAAACTAAATTGGACTCCATTGACTTTCAGTGTATGGACAACAGAGACATTCTACAAAATATCTCCTTTTGTGTTTCACAGAAGAAAAAAGGAGGTGCGAGTGAATAAACGATGACTGATTGTTCATTTCTGGGTGGATTATCCCTTTAAACGCCATTTTTCCATAGTGAGGTTCTACCAAGTAACAGCTCTCTAAAACAACAACACTCTACCGTAACAGAGTACTGACATTACCTCGCAGCCAATCGGATTAATCCCTCCCCAGCTGCTTTCCAGGGCTAATCCAATGGTATTTGGAGCTGCCAAAAAAGTGGGAAGCACCAGCCAGCGCCTGATAGGAGCAGAGCTCCGTCACTCATCTCTCTGATGCGGCTGCATTAGGAAGTCTAGCGCATGTGAACTGGACGCCTGCCAGTGCACAGTCACCAAGAGAGCAAGGTAAACAATTTCTCTCTTTCTCTCCCTCTCCCTCTCATTCTAGTCCTTTCCCCGGTTCCCTCCCATGACATTTAGACCCTTTTCATCAACGTAACCCTCCTCAGGATGCAATTTAACCCCTGTATTGAAGTTGAGACACAGGGAGAGAAGTGAAAACAGTCACGCACCGAAAAGGAAGTGCTGCAAATATGACTGCGTCACCACTTGTGTTTCTAGTAAACTCTGCATAAACAAATGTTGTTGATGGAAATGCGGCATCTGCCCTCGTCTCTGCCAAAAGATCACAAATTTAGCCGAGGCACCTGCTCTTCTACTCATCCTCAAAATGCCATAAAGTAACATCTAAGTCGCCTCTTCTGATGTCTTAAGAATCCAGAGACTGATCTCAGGTCAGACTGACAGTGACTAGCGTGCTGTATTTGACTTACCTGTTAAGAGGAGCCACAAAAGATGTGTTGTAACGTATATATCGGTATCAGTATCAACCGTAATTATGCGTATTGCAATTATGGTATGGACCCTTGCGGTATCCGATGTGGTTTGAATAAAAGGCAAAAATTTGTATTTATATTAACTATTTCTCACAAGAACCTTTGAAAGCAGCATTTGTTTTGTTATCGTTTTTTGTTAACCGTATTTTTGCCGCCTCGCGACGCCGTTACACACCCATCAAACGTCGACACACACCGAACCTCTGCGCACACAATCCGAGAAACTCTATCACGTTCTCAGCATCCATGGTTGGAGCTGTGATTGTGGAGAAACGGACTAAAACGTGAAATCAGAGAGAGTGAAAGTGGGAGAGAAAAAGAGATGGAGAAGAGGAGGATGAAAGGCGGACGAGCAGACGAAAGGGCTGGGATAAACTCACAGGTAGGAGAAAAGCACACATGTCCGAATCCTCTCCTCCTAGCTGATGTTTTCCTCTCGACGTGAAAAAGTGACGTAGCAACTAATCCAAAATCTCTTTCTCCCTCTCTCTTTCTCTTGCTTCCTCCCTCCCTCCCTCTCTCCACCAGACCTCCACCCTCTCCTGCTCGTTCTATTTTCATCTTGTTGCAACAGCAGAATTGCTGCTGTTTTTTTCAGACAGACAAATGTCTACATAAATAGATCGCTAATAGACGCATACAAACACGCTCAATGTGATCACCCAGACAGATAGTTGCTGCAAATGCTCCCACAATCCCGCTGTCTCCTTCTCCCTCAGTTTGCCTCTCTTGCTCATTGTGACGCAGCACTTAATTCTTGGGTCTTTTTCGCTCTGTGTTATGACCACACAAACGCAGCATCTCGAAATCCACATAACGAGTGGGAAAGTGAGAGATGGAGAGCCAGAGACACTTTGATTACAGTTGGCTTCTTTCTTTTCTTGTCTATCTGGTGTCCTCCTCTCCCCTCTGTCCTCCTCTAACTGTTTCTCTACCCGTCAGCCCCCCTCTTTTATATCTTCGGCGTCTCATCTGCGTCTATGGTGTCTCGGTGAACTGAGATGACGGTGCCCCTGTGATCACCTGACAGCCTGCAGCTTTTAAAGGCACATCGTAGAGCTCTGCTTCAGTTATGTAACAACTGGGCTGTTTTGTTTCTCGTGTTTTTAATCTCGGCCTATTTGCTCGGCCTGTTTAAAATATCCAGGCTGTCGGAAGACAGCTAAATCAGATAATATGGGCAGGGACGGAAAAGAATCTTGAATCTATGAACATCACAAATGACGTGAGTAATAAGGTAACGTCATTCCAACGTTCGGACAGATTAGAGAAATGGACACGCAGGGTAAGATATGATAAAGGACTTTATGATTAAAAGAAAACAAGAGGGACTGTATAATCATGAGAAGGCACATCAGTGGCTCATAGACTTCCTCTTCCTGTTTTGTGACTACAGATCTGTAACCATGGAGACAGACGGCAGAACAACATGGATTATGTCACCATATTCAAAACTGAAGTGATGCATGAGGAAAAAGGGAGGGTAAACCTTGAAAATCACATTAGGAAAAAAAATACACTTATTTAAATAAAAAAAATGTAAATTGTGAAATTAATGAATAAATACGTTATTAAAATAGAAGAAAATAAAATGTAATAAATAAAATGAAGCAAAGCAAAATAAAATAAAAATATAATAATACAAAAAATTAATTAACTAATTAATTAATGAATTAATAGCTAAATAAAATAAAATGCAGACAGGAGGTCAAACTGATTCATAAATTTCTAAATTCTATAAAAATTTGATGCTGCTTCTCTAAATATCTTCATACACATACATAACGATAACATAACAAGACATGACTAAAATTGCTCTATGCTCTGAGTAGCCTGACACACTTTAACACAGACCACAATTCCCAGCATGCTCCTCCGTATGACATCTCAATCTAAGTGGGGAAGTGAGGTAGGTCAGCTGGCAGGGTGCTCGGCAACCCGCAGTCTAATGATAATCCTCCTCTCTGCTCCAGTTTATCTTAAATTGGGAGATGAACACAGCATGAAATGCTACACTATGAAGCATGATGTTACTTTGATGCATCTTTAATAACATTTGTCTTCAAGTAATCAAATATCTGCGTCACGCCTAGAAGAAGGCGCTTCTATGTCTCCCTAATGGCTTTTTGAACCACCTCTCATCGCATTACAACTTGGTATCGGAACAATGTCAACTGTGTATTGATTAAGGCATGTTAAGTATGCAAGAATATAGAGACCTATGGAAAATAGACTCTACAATGAACTAGAACCAACTGGTTGTTTGAGACAGAAATAAATGTTCATCCATCTGTATGCTGGATTGCTTTTCTAAACGCAAATTAAACCTAGTCACAATTCACAGTGCATAACTAAATTTAAAAATGCATAGTGTAACAATGAATTGAAAAGTGTTATAATGTATTAGCGTAGTTTCACAATTATTCATGAAATTGTATAATGCATTATAAGGTGCATTGCAAGGCATAATTAAATGCATTAAAACGACTTTTATAATGCATTATACATAAAGGCTTTAAGTAAAGTGTTACCGAATCTTATAACTTGTCGGCGCCAACAGCCTCATGGGCAGTGCACAGACATATAGTGCCATTGTGCTTCAGGCGTCCTGAGTTCGAGTCCTCATTTTCTGTCTAAATACTGTCCTGTCACAATAAAGGCAAAAATGCCAAAAAATATATCTTAAAAAAAAAAAATGTTATAACTGGCCACGACTACAACAAACATTTGACATTATATTTTTAAGCATTTGGCAGACAATTTTAAAATTGCAAGCAAAATCCAGTCATAACGATTAGAATCCACACGATCAGGTGTTTCGCTCGTGCAGATTTTGCCCATTTTCAAGTTGTTTGTGAATTTGCGGTTCAACAGAAAACTGCTTGGTTTGAAAGTGACTGTGTGAGCTGTGCTTTATACATCACTATGCTATTGACAATAGACTATGGACCTTTTTTTTGAACACACCTTTATGCTGAGATTGGCTGTCATGTTGTATTCAGTCTGAACAGAAACCGCTTGTCACTGGAAACTTTGGGCACCAAACTGAATTGCAATTTGTTTGTTTGATCATTTTACTAGTTCACGGTTTCAAATGTAGAATAATCAATCCAATCACCTTTAGGTTTATTACTGAACTTACTTTCATCTCTTTGAAACCGTCTAACTTAATTTTACCCTAAGGTCCAACCAATGAAGAATAACAATGTAGTTTAATCTCAGACAGAATTTGCCACACACATCAAACGATGGAGCTTTTTTTTTTTTAAACAAGAAGCTTTGGACACAAGACAGAACATTATCTCTTTATCAATTCAACATTACATCTTTCCGACCTTTAACGCCTGATATAGCACCATGTTTGTTTCTTTATCATTTCACACAGGATATACAGCAACAGTGCATGCTAACTTGCATCCTTCCTGTCTGTCTATTAATGCAGTCGTCATTAGCAGCAAGCAGCAGGTGGGTTACTTTTAGCAGTGTCATCTCAACATAGTAGTCTGGTTCCTGTAGGCTTAATCTCTAACAGTAGAGGAGCCTGGCCTACTGACTACACGTTGACCCTGAATGACGTACTTTCAATAGCTGCCAAAGTGTTCACTCAGATTAGATGAAGATCTTGGCATATATGCCAGTAAAGGGAGCTGATGCTCATGCCATCAAGGAGTGTATGGGGTTTTAATACATGGTGAAAGTGAATTCCCATTATTTAAATTTGGTGGAGAGAAATGGCAATATGGCTAACCTTGTTCTGCTTATTTAGCTTGGATGGATGAAACTGCAGATTCCCACTGTGAACGCCACAATAGTGCCATACCCAAGAAGTGAATGCACATTCGTTGTCATATAACTTATATAAAAACAATCTCAGGATGTTTGCCAATATGTGTACACATACCTTTACAGTGTTGTGGTTGCTCGTCATCCCAGATTCACTAAAAAACAAAATGAAATATAAAAGGAATGGGTAAAAATTGCATTATAGAGATTTCGTCAATATCCAGAAGGAATGTACAGTAAAGCACATTTTAAACAATGGCGAGTGCAAGCATTCCTGAGACATGTTTGAGTTTGTCTGATGAATAAATACAATTCATTATCCAATCTCAAATAATTTTGCCATTGAATCATTCCTGGGACCACTTAGAGCCAGATGTATTCTCAAATGATTCTACAATAATGCTACATTACTCTAAAACATGACTTCTTGTTGGTGTGCTTTAACAACACTGATTTATCCTACTCTCTTGCATAGTATCTGTAATTATTGCAATGATTTGTCATATATGTCACATATGTGACCCTGGACCACAAAACCATTCATAAGCAGCATGGGTATATTTGTAGCAATAGCCAACAATACACCGCATGAATCAAAATTATCGATTTTTCTTTTATGCCAAAAATCATTAGGATATTAAGTAAAGATCATGTTCCATAAAGATATTTCTACCGTAAATATATCTAAACTTAATTTTTGATTAGTAATATGCAATGCTAAGGACTTAATTTGGACAACTTTAAAAGCTATTTTCTCAATATTTAGATTTTTTGCACCTTCAGATTCCAGATTTTCAAATAGTTGTATCTCAGCCAAATATTGTCCTAACAAACCATACATCAATGGAAAACTTATTTATTTAGACATCTTCCCTTTATGACTGGTTTTGTGGTCCAGGGTCACATATATGTGTTCCCTATAAAGTAATCTGTGGTTAGGTGCCTTTATTCAGTGGCACAATAGTGCTGAATCATCTTGTGGGATTTGAACCTACAACCATTCAGTCACCAGCTCGGTTTTAAAGTCAATGCTTTCTAGTAGTAAGTGATTTACATTTAAACTAAATATCAAATTTAAATTTAAAAATAATTAGAACCATTTTATTTCAAAATATGAAAAGGTTTGATTTATTTAAAAATAAATACATTTAGTTACTTAAAATAAACCTTAATTAAGATAAGTTAAATGTGAATATTTTTTTCGTTTTTATGTTAAATAAATAAAACTATTTAAAAAAAAAATAATAATAAACTCCGCTCAATACAATGACTGGTTGCAGCAACCTAATGTGATCCGTCAGTCGCAAAACAGCGCCGCCCAACGGCAGAGATCAATGCTTTCTAGTAGTAAGTGATTTACATTTAAACTAAATATCAAATTTAAATTTAAAAATAATTAGAACCATTTTATTTCAAAATATGAAAAGGTTTGATTTATTTAAAAATAAATACATTTAGTTACTTAAAATAAACCTTAATTAAGATAAGTTAAATGTGAACCTTTTTTCGTTTTTATGTTAAATAAATAAAACAAATTTTTTTTAAATAATAAATAAACTCCGCTCACTACAATGACTGGTTGCAGCAACCTAATGTGATCCGTCAGTCGCAAAACAGCGCCGCCCAACGGCAGAGAAAAATACATGCCAGCTTTGTTTACATCAGAAATAAAAGGTGCGCACTTGACTAAAAACACCATTAGCTAATAAATAAAAGGCTGATAGTGGGTGTAAACCTCATGTGTTTACCTCACGGAACATCCAGAAATGTAAATTCAGTCGTATAATATCATGAATAGGCATTATCAGCGAAGACTGAACATGCCTTCCATGCAAATCTGAGTTTATTTGAAGCTCAGGACAGCAACTATTTGGTTCATCGACCGATGTCTGTGCGGAAACTTTATATGCTTTAATCAGTGGGAAAAACAACCGAGCTCACCTGTTAGACGGTATTCTGACTGATCGAGATGAAAACATTCCACGGGTCAGGGCAAAGCACACTGGGTTGTAAATAAGTACTGCGTAACATCCTATCCTTGCCACGCCAAGTAGTCTAGTCCAACCACACACGCACGCACACCTTTGTCGCAGCAGAAAACCCTCCTCCTCCCTGCAATCCCCACCTTGATTTTTCTTCTTTCTAAGAATCACCTGTATATTTAACTAAGGACAATATTATAGGACAATAACTAGTCTAGGTATTTCTAGAGCATCTCAATAAGCATGATTGGACAGCATCCTTATAATGCATCAAATGGACATCATGAGAGACTGACCTAATGGGCTCAATACCTACACATATGGCATATTTCAAATAATAAATATATCAATCTCGTATTAGACCGCAAACACAGTGAGACAAAAGTCCATCGATCTGTCACGAATCATAAAACAGCATGTTTTTCCTGGCGATCGATTATTTAGAATAACGCAACGCCCAATGTGAAGGACTTTACAACTTTACTCAATAGAAAAAATTCTCACTAACCTGTACAAACGTCTTTATTCTGTCTGTTGGCAGTGTCAAACGATGGATGCAATCGGCTTGAACTTCTTTTTTCAATCATATAGCGTCTTGATGCCGCGCACATCGAATTTTCCAGAGCGCAACAGCGAGGCCCCGCCCAGGGCACACACCCCCGTGTTCTGATTGGCTGTCCGTCCTGAGCGCAGTGTGTCGTCGGCAGAATCACATGCGTTTGACGCATGTTTACAAACACTCGAGCGAATCACATGTCGCACAGCCGTATTGACATGTTTCGCGACTGCTGGCTAATTAGGATTGTTAGCAGAGGCATTTCCCTTTGCGCTTCATTTAGTCTGACACGTGCAGTTAAAAACCGTTCGACAAATCTGAGTGTCCTGTCAGCGAATGTAACCACACTATGCTTCCTGCAAGAAAAAGGCGTTTCCACACTGTTGGTGAAAGTCTTACGGAGCGTAAACCTAACGAACGCGTTTTTAATTTCAGATTTAAAGGGCATTTTGATATTGTTTTTCTCATTTGACAGAAATAGTATAAAACAGAAAGTGCCCCTTTAGACCCTTGTGACTGTTTTATTATGTTTATTTATAATAAATATAATTATGTATATATAATAAACATTTTATTTATAATTGTATCATACATATAATTGTATTATATCTATGTATTTAATATTCATATGTGAATGTTAATATAATATTAATGTAATAATATATTTTAAACATTTTAATTTAAAGGCATGTGCTGATCATGTTAACATTAACATTTCTAATTTCTCTTTTGATATTAAGAGAGAAAGAGGCATGTCCGTAGTATGTGGGTGAATGTACGTCTACAATTTAAGCATGTATGTATATGTTTATTTTATTTTATTAAAACGTGCTGATCATGTTTACATTGACATTTCTACATTTTATATTCATATTAAGATAGAAAGAGATGTAGGGTTGTAGTATTTGGGTCAATGTATGACTAGGACTATGACAATATCATTTATCATAAAAATACACAATATGTGTACTTTTAATGTAAAATAAAATAAAATGAATCAAGAAAAGAAAAGAAAGCTTCACTGTCTTTCCAGCTGCATTTACTCTCAATATAGTAAAGGTACAGCGTATAGTCATTATTATTACAGCAGAGGGCGACATTTCTCCATGCAAGAAAAACAACCAAGAAGCTCACATGGACCAGTTTACATTCTTAATCCATGATGCAAGTGTTATGATAGTTTTACACTATGCTGGCTTGCACTTCATTCTGGGCCCAGTACACAACATGAGAAGAGCTTTAGACTATACCCATTTTGTATAAGTTGCTTTTACTGTATTTCATTTTTAATACATTTTTAAGCCTGTATGACTCCAGAGCTGTTGCTGAGTCTTAGCTAGTTTATCAAAAATTCCATAGCTAAATTATGCTTAGGCTATGTAATTACAATACACATACACACCATACACATTTAATAATAAATCCAGTGTCAATATACAGAGAAACAAACAGTTGTATGATTACAATAGACAGGAATGTTCAGAGTTGAGCTGAGATGACGCTTGACTTGGGAGCATTTAGGAGGACAGGAAATGAAATCGCTTAAGTGTGGATTGCATCATGGTGGAAAGAAAGAGACATGTTTTCCCGATTCTGCATGGTCTTCATCAGAGACTGTGGCCTTGAAAAGACAACGAAGATTCCCCTGTGAAGAAAGTTAACACATCCCACAGAGAACAATGGCTGCATTCATTGTATTTACATCTGCTGTCCTGATCCTTCTTATGAAACCAGTTTTTTATGCAATGATGGCAGTTTTTAAATGTTTTTGATTGCTCTTTGTATTCAGTACAATAGTATCTTGGGCACATATTAATTTAACCAGCAACTAAATTAATTTGATGTTAATAAGAGAAAGTATGTTTACGTGAATTTAAAAAAGTGATGTTTAGAGTAAAAATGTAGGCGATGTATCTGCAATTGAATCTTTTTAAAGTAAAAATATGTAAAAAAAAAAAAGATAAATAAAAAATCTCTGTTTGAAAACTCTTTTTATTAAATGACAAACATCAACTTTAATAAGTACATTAATCCGCTGTTCTATAAATACAGAAGCATTCTCATTTAGTTTTATTTTTGATAGATATGCTTATGTAATTATGTTGTGTTGATCTGTCATGCATGTTCCAAACAACAGACTTTGCACGTGGGAAAATGTGATAGCATGCTTGACCCTCAGAGCTGCAGTAAAATGTTATGATCCAGTAATATTCTTAAACCAGAGGACTATCACACTGTCATATGGCTGGTTTATACAGGCCTGTTCACACCCAGGCTCACAAAACCCCTCGTCACAGACTCCTTGAAATGACCTCAATCAGGCTTGGTTGGGAGGAACTTCACCAGGCACATATACACTCTTAAAAATAAAGGTGCTTCACGATGCCATAGAAGAACCTTTTTGTCTAAATGGTTCCATAAAGAACCTTTAACATCTGAAGAACCTTTTTGTTTCACAAACGGTTCTTTGTGGCGAAAGAAGGTTCTTCAGATTATAAAAAGGTAAGAAAGAGATGGTTCTTTAAAGAACCTTTGAATAAATGGTTCTTTGCGGAACCAAAAATGGTTCTTCTATGGCATCGCTTGAAGAACCTTTTGAAGCACCTTTATTTTTAAGAGTGTAACTGCTGATTGTATACTTAGAAATGAATGACTGCTTGTGAAAGTGTGGCTTCCAGCGTTGGCAACTTGACAACTATGGCCGTCCACAGTGTGTATGTGTTGTTTTTGTATATGTGTGCTAGCATCGCTAATAAAACTTAGCAGGATCATATTTTACACATGATGAAATGAAAACCCACCAGGTGTCAGAGAGTGTGTCTGTTGAGAGATCACGCTGGCTTGGACGGCTTGGTATGTGCTTGTGTGTGTAGTTTCAAATTCGTTATGGACACTCCCTTAAGGTCAGACTTAGGAGTAGCACATGGCTGTGTCAAACTCTCACGCAAAGATGGATGGAAATGTGCACACGCCTTACATGCGTAAGCAGCGTTATCCTGTGCGCATGTTTATGTCATGCATGTTCTCACATGAAGGAACATTTAACTGCTCAGAGGTTGCTCTTTTATGGTTTAAAGGAATATTCTGAGTTCAGTACAAAGTGAGCTTAATTGACAGCATTTGCGATGTTACTGCAAAAATTAATTTCCCCTTGTTTTCAAAAATCTGGGTTACAGCTTCCATATTTTCAAATGTAAATGGCTAAAAGTATATTTGCTAAAATATATTTGCTGCAGACAAACACATATTTAAATATATTTTTCAATAACATATTTGTGGCCATTTTTGCTTATTTCTGAAAATATATTGTGTAAAATATAAATGTGTTTATTTAAAGCACTTGAAAAAATAGTACATTTTGAAATATATTTTGTTATATGAAGGTTAAAACTAAATATATATTCAACTTCAAAAATATAGTTGACTGTTCACAACATTTATTATCATATATTTACATATATTTAGCATATGTAAGACATGTAATACTCTACAAAAATGCTAAAATATTGTTTCAATATTTTTTCCACATTATAAATATTATGCATGTTAAAATGGTTTTAGTTTAAAAAATGGTTACTATCTTTACTGTCAACACAGCATAACCACTTAAAATGACTGTAAAACGTTTACTAAAACTCAAATAATGCACAAGTTTTAGCAGAAGAACTAATGTGAGTGCTTTTATAAAATTGTAATCTTCACATTTCAGCTTTTAAATCCTCCAAAAATTGGCCCCATTTTTATATAATGAAGTAATATTCCAAATGTACATATAAATGTATAAGTATATATGTTAATGTTTTTGATGTATATATATATATATATATATATATATATATATATATATATATATATACTGTATATATATATATATATATATTATTTTTTCTTTCTTTCTGTTGCATAGAAGTATGCTTCAACTTTATTTTACATGTTTCTCCTAAAGTTCCTATAAAGATACACATAAGATTACTACGGAGGTCAGTAGACACTCCATCTAATCTTTCTCAGAAACAATTAATACTAAAGAGTTATTACTTATAATTGTTTTATTTATGCAAATCTTATCCCTGGACTGCTGCTGTGATGTTTTGTATTTTTCTTCTCCTTCCAATTTTTTTTACAGTGAAATCTGGAGCACGTCCAGCAGCTTTCTGTGACCCTCCCTGTAAGGACACTCTCTGACTGCCGTCTGTCACGTATAGCCGTGGATTATGTGTCCTCTATACTATCTGTGCGCACCCTCTCACTGCCACAGGACATTGATGACAGTCTGTGTGTATTAATAACTGTCTGGTTTGTGACTGGAGGTGTAGGGACAATGGAATGAGGCGAGGACTTTGAGATGGAGAGGTGGATTACTCTGAAAGGCTAAACAGTCATGGAGTTCCAAGCAAAATGAAGACCCCTAGAGGGCCCTGCATTAATAAAAGGCACAACGTTCTATTCTGTTGCTTAACTGCATGGCCTTGAATGACATGATGCTGATGTTCATTCCTTTGCCAGTCAGTGATAAAAATTCAGTTGCTCTTCTTGTAACAGACATCTTTCCATCTTTTAGGAGTGAATGTTGTGGTTAAACAGTTTATATTAATATGTTTTGAAAGCAAAACACTCATTGTGATGTTTCAGAGTTAGATAAATGTGTATGGACCATGTCCAGCATATAGCCAATTCTTATATGGACACATTTATGTCTCATTGAATTTTATGTATAATCAACTTTTTTTCATTATATCTTTAAGTCACATGAAAAGAGGGACGTGTTATATCATGCCTTCATCATTTACTTTTGCTGCTTTTCAAGTGGCTTTTATTGTTTCACCCTGTGAACCCAGACTTCAGACAGATTGTAATCTTATTAAAAGTCCATGATAAAAAATATATATATATTATGTTAAAAGCTATGATGATCTAAACAAAGAATAAAATAATTATTGCAATGTTTATTGTGTGAAAAGTGTTTATATAAATGTGTACACAAATTACAACT